GAATAAAATATATGCTTATCTAAATATTCCCTTGCATATTGTCTTTGAGTTCGACTAGTAACTTTAATAAACCCTCTTGAGACTCAATTCGACGGACTGAATTGACTTGTAACTTCAACTAGGTTTATTAAGACTCGGATTCTAGAATGATTGTGGAATCAGATATTGCCATTCACCTTCGTGACTTGTGAGAATTGTGATAAAGAACGAGACTTACGATTGGTTATTCGACCTTATTAATCACTCCCATGGACTTAAAAGTTATCTCTGTTACCACTTGATCATCGTTCGCTTTTTCCTCACCATCCTTATTGAGATATTCCTACCAGCATCGCCTGTAGTTGCTTCGCCTTATTACTACCACTCTAAATATTAAAACTTTCGTTTCATAGTATTATATTGTCTCAATAGACCTCCGATAGTTAGAAACAACTCTCTTCGTTTCTCTAAGTTTATCTATATCTCCCCATATACCGTTAGAGTTAAATTGGCCTTCTATTCACATAATTCTATTAAGCTCTCCCAACAATGGTTACAGTATCATTCAATTGTTGTGTTTGTACTTGCTGATCTTGTAAAACCTTAATGCAAAAATCAGGTTTTATGTTGACCATTAGCCAATTGTTGCTAAGAAATTTGGAAAGCAATTTTTCGAATCTCAGTTATTAGATAAAAATTTTGCAAAGAGCGATAAAGTGAATAAGAAAAGAAAGTAGTAAAAAATTTGTATTAATCGATTACATATTTATTGCTGTATCTAATTTAAAATTAGTTTAAGTTGCTATTATATATACCGATTATTATAGTATTAAATTTAGGATCAATTTAAGTTGCTTTTAATTTTATATAAAATTGTAATAAAAATTTAATTACTATTGATTGCATATACATAACAATTTAAATAGTTTGTAATCAGTAAAATTATACCCGATTGGTTACTATTGATTGAATAGTTTATCAATAGTAAAAATTCCTATTGATGTTTATTTAACTTGTGGGGTCTTGATCCGATTGCTATCTATTGAATCCTGATTGTTTTCTTATTGACCTCTTTTTGTGCCAAAATCCGACAGCAATATGAAATCAATAGGGTTAAATTTTGTAGCAATCAGGCAACCCTATTGATTACTTATTGAATATCATTTTACTTGTGAAGCTTGGTATTATTTTTTCTATAAATGTTGTAAAACAAAATTTAAAAAGATTTGGTTGCACAGATAACGTATTACGTATATACAAACATGTGTTATGAGATGATTAACCGAATTTTAGAAAATAAGTTATGCATAACAATAAGCCTTCTAGATAGTACAGATAAATTTTACGTACGGAATTTATTCTAACGCGTTAAAGAATATGTACCAGGTATAGTACAACAGATAATGGTACAAATTTTGTTAAATTACCATTAACACTTATTTTTATTTAACATTCTACCGAAAAGCACATCTCATCAAAAGCATAATTCCTCGTCTTCATAAGCTGATCGAAGTGTTCTTTAAAGCGGATTCTAATGTCTCCAGTAATATCAAAAATTCTAGATAAATTAGAACTTCCAGAAGAAGAGCTTGGAGACGAATTAGTTTCAGATTCATTGGTCGAATTAGCTTCAGATTCATTGGACACACTTTGTTGATCAAAATCGGATCTTTGAACCACTACATAATGTTGATTTATTTTGTTTTAGAGATCTTTGATAACAACATTAATTCTGCTAAATTCATTACAGCAGGCTTCTTCGATATTATTAACTTTTGTAGTTATGTTATTAATCATTGAAAAAATTTTCTGCGCCTCAGAAGCGTAGCCAGCATCACATGTATTAATTTTGGTGATTTTTGCGATAAGTTTACTATTAAGTTCAGTATTAATTTCAGACAGGCGTGTGGAAAGCTCGTTGGTGATTTTAGTATTAATTTCTGCAGTAAGTTTTCTATAGACATCATTAGTAAGGATTCTTTTGATTTCTGCAGTAATAGTTGTATTATTTTTTTTGTCAAGTTCATTAGCGATCTTAGTACCATGTGCAGAGAGATCATCTGCGATTTCATGCTTAATTTTGGTGACACGCGCAAAGAGTTCATCAGAAATTTTTTGTTTGAGAATCATCTACATGGTAACAATCCCCATGAATATCAGTAGACAAACGAACAAAAAAACAGCGGTTAAGACTAAAAATGGTACGCTCCGCAAAGAGTTGAACAATGTTAAACTGGACATGATACAGATCGAGCGGTGCGTAGTATTTTATATTTGAGCTTTATTGGCGAATCAAATTAGAGTTTTTTAGATACTAATAATTGATTTTTTTTTTATAATATGCAATTCTCTTGTATAAATGTGCTAGGAAAAGATGTTATTTTATACTTTATTTCTACTATACATGAAAATGGGAATTTAACCCAATATAATAAGAATTATGTTGCTTTATTATGTATATTCGGCATAATTACATTTTTCATAATTACATTTTCTTATATAAAATAATTATAACGGCCTGGATCCCGTCCAATAATAACAAATATCTCTCCCCGAATTTGAGGCGCATTTAATAGTGCTTTAAAGAAAATCCGATGATTACCAGTTAGGGTTTTATATCAAATTAATATACAGTAATAAAGTTGAAGTTATTACCGAGAAATATACTGTTATAGAACAGTTTATTATTTTATTAGTTATTATTCTGATATTGTATCTTATTATTTATTTTATTATT